ATTTAATAGGTTACCTAATGTTAAAAAAATAATAAAATAATAAAATCAGTTAATACGACAATAACTCAACTAATAAAATTAGATAATTAAATACTTTGTCAGTTTTATRTTTTTTTATTTAAACTCAATAACTTAACTATTTATTTGTAATGTTATATATTTTTTTTACTAATTAAATCAATAAAATGTGTAATTACATTATTTATGTTCTTAAATTTAAAGTATACAAATTTGTGCAATTTCGCATGAATAAAAATAAAATAATAAAATCTTACAAGAAAAATGATCAATTATTATACCTACTAAAAAATTTTCTTAATGTTCAACAATTATATTCTACTAGGTATTAAAATATTTACCTTTTTCTATTTTATACTTCACTGCTTCAGAGCGTAGATTTAGTATAACATTTTTAATTATTTAGTATAATATTAATTATTCTATTCTGTGGTATAACTCACTCAATCGACTGTCGATATTAAAATAACCGAATAATCGTAATCGTATTATAATAAAACGATGTTTTATGTTACAGTGTGTGTGCGTATTGTGTATTGTTGTGTATAGTTTATTTTAGTCTTTGATAAATGYGATGTTTAATCATAAAAATATTAATTTATATTTATAACACAATTATCACAATATTAATAAGCTCACAACTAACATATTTACAGATATTAACACATTAAAATATTTTGGATTGGATTAAAAAATTCCAATATAATGATATCAAATTTTGCGCCTCCATTTTTACTCGATATTTTGCACCCCTGGCAGGCGACCACCTTGCCAGGCTCTTGGCCCGGCCCTGCATTAGTGTAACGCTCCCCAGTCGGAAGATCAATTTAATTAGATGGAAGATAGACAACTCTTGATGATGAAGCCCAAATAATATTTTAAATAGAATTTCATCTAAGTCAAAATAATTAATTGTGGATRAGCGACATGAGACTGAGTGTGGTGTGGTCTTCTGGTCGTCCAGTCGTTAGTCGCCTTGATGTACGTCTGACGATCGCGTCGTCGATGAGCTCCTCTCGTAGAGAGAATCCCTAATCCTCGCTACAGTGAATATCCCTGTATATTTCATATTCATTGTCATTGTCATAAAACGAGCGCGTGTGGCTACACATTTGTGTTATAGTGCGATACCCGTTTACGCAAAACACACAATTCCTGTTTGACCTACTTTGATGAATATTCATATGAGTAGTGATATATATATATAATGCCACATGAATTATTATTATTATTAATATAATTGTTATTACGCCGTTGCACTCCATCACTATTATTTTTGTATTATTATTATGGATTTATAGGTAAAGTCACACTACATTAGGTACACTATAAGATGATATTAAATGTACAAATAATAATAATSATAATATTTTTTTATAAGTGGGATTCCGGATTTTACAATGATCWTGAAATTAACGTCGTTATATCCCATAATAATATTTATTTATGACCGATGTCATTATAGATGGTACCGACTATAGCAGTGGCGGCAAAGTCCTAAAAATTTAAAAGTGTGGACAATATTTCAATAGGTCCAATAACTTAATATCGGCAAAATTGTGTACCGTGGAGAGGAAAGTGATTAATATGAAGTGACTTTATCATACATTTTTTAAAYATTTCGGGCTATAACCTTACATTAACATAAGGTTCGGTGTCACTCAGTGGCGGATTTGAGGGGGAGGGTGTGGATAACGAGGTGATTACCCCTCCCTATGACTTATTTTTTTAATTGAATTATAGTGCTTTAGCCGCTTTATGATAAAATTAATTTCAATTTATAAGTCATAACTACAAYCTCAAACTTATAAAATAAATGATACAAAAAAAGGTATTTTTTTAAATATGATAATCGGAAATGTGTATTCAGTTACGTCTTTTGTTAGTACCTATCAATCTATAATACCAATTAGCCTCTTCTCAAATGATCTTCAGATCCACTACTGGCGCAATCGGCTTGTAGTGTTTACACCAATGTATTATAATTTGAAATCTCTATACTAAAAGTTTAATAATGACTTATACTTTACAGCAGGGGTGTCCAAACTTTTGTGAAGACTGGGCCACATCATATAGGTAAAAGTTGTTGTGGGCCACATATTTTTTTTAAATAATAATATATTCAAATTTAATGATTAAATTATATTCTATAATACAACAATACATTTTTACATAATTTTATTATAGCAAATAATAAGCAGAAATATTTTTACAAGTATTAATAGGTATTTAATTATAAGTACACAGAAAAATATATTTATTTATAATCAACGTGTGCATCGACCTTTACAGTTTATTTGATATTTTATAATTTTATATTCTTAAAATAAATTTGTAATTTATTATCTACAATTAATTCATGGTTTTTAAATTGAAGTGAGGACCGCGGGTTGGACACCCCTGATTTACAGTATTCGATATCCGTCTTCTCGATTAATTGTTTTACTTATGTAGATCATGTTCGAAGTGTTCAAYGTGCCTAAGATGTCGTTAGTAAACAAGTCGTCACTTGCTCTGTACAGCGTCGGCAAGACCACTGGCCTGGTGGTCGATTCCGGGTACCATAGCACACAAATCGTTCCCATTTACGAAGAATTTCCGATTTCACACGCCGTACGAAGTATGCCAATCGGGGGATGGCACTTGACTCAGTTTCTCAAGGATATGATTAACGGTCGAGGTTATAGATTGACCACGGTGAAAGACTGGGAAAGAATTAAACACATAAAAGAAAAGTTTTGCTACAGTGCTGTAGACTTTGAAAAAGAACTGGCAAATTTTGGCAAGGACAAGGAACAGAGATACACGCTGCCAGATGGAATGATAGTCAACATCAATAATGAAGCGTTAGTATTTTATTACGAATTAACGACAAAATATCGTTTGACCKAAATATAGCCACTAAAATCAATTAAATTATATGACTTGAGTAGGTACAAAATAGRAAATAAATATAATATCATGTAGTAGGTGAGCATAAAATCAATATGTCAAACGTCAAAACATACCTATAATTAATATATTGTTGTTATAATATTTAGTAATTTTTTTATTTATAAAGTCTTACAAATAAATAATTATAATGATACAAATATGTATAATAATATTATTGTTAGTATATGTAAATATTAAATTAATATTTAAATTATAGTTCAAAAGATCAAAACTTAATTTACACATAATATAAGTTGTTAAGATAATACGATAAGAATAAATAAATAATGATTGTTGTTCGTCAAAATAATTAAAATATTTGAGAAATTAAAAGAGGTGTGATCAATTTTTTTCATTCATAAGAAGTCGCCACTCTTATACATTGTCTCCATCTTATAAACGTAGAACATAGTAAAAAYTGTACTTGCGTGGACAACTGTTCTCCCTCAGTATTTATAATAGAATTATCAAAATTCCACAACACATAGGTAAAAACTTTATCCGTGTCATAGCGTCGTTATGTTTTGATGGCTCAAACCAATAATTTATAAAAATTAAATAAAAATAAATTTTTTTTCTAAGCACTAAGCTAATAACTTTAATTATATTTATGTTATCAAAAAAATAACGACGATATGACACATATAAAGTTCTTACCTATGCGTTGTTGAATTTTGATAATTCTACCATAAATACTGAGAGAGAACAGTTGTTTCGCGCAAGTACAGTTTTTGCTATGTTCTACCTTCTACGTTTATAAGACATTAAGACGATATTAAAATATTTACAAACAATGATAATACGTATAATAATGTATATCTACGATTTACCTACTTAATATTCAATAATTAAATTTAAAACATGGATATTTACTACACTCAAATAAAAGTAGACTTAAAAAATAACAACGTAGAATTATATAAAAATACATTCTATAATTCAGAATTTATAGCTAAAATTATAATAATATGCRTTAACGATAATATTAGATGCARAATACAATATTACGATTATATAATGGCTTTTTTTTATCTGCGATTTAGGTACCTACCTGGTATTCATTGGTTTCATGATATTTTAGTGGCGATATTTTGGTCACGAGATACCTCACCGATATTTATTATTTATTTAATCGACATACTTTTTATTATGGGCTTAAGTTTAAAACTAAAAAAGGTAGATACCGCTTTAAGTAAGGCCCTATAGTAATTTTATGATGTTCAGTTTTAATTCAGTCATATAATATAGTTTTATATGAAGAACGATCCTGAGTGAAAACAGTCTATCAAGCTGCCTATATATTTCAATAATAATATCAATATTTTTAAATTACAACAAAAGAACTAAGGTATAGTGTTTTCTTTGATATTCAATAACAAAGAAAATTAAACTTCAAACTCTCATAAAAATTTGTTTGACTTGCCGGCAAACTTTTATTATTCTTTAAAGGTGGGAAAACTTACGAGAAATCTTGTTTTCATATTTCTAATCTTAGAAGACAATTTGTATGCATTTCTTACTAGCCATTATATGACTATATACCTAGTGTAAATGAGTCAGCACCAATCTTTAGTAGTATACGGCTAGTATAATATTATTATTTGTCACTAAAAAATAATTAATTATTTTATTTTGAACTACTATCCAAAGAGTTAATAACAAAATTATAAAATAATACTCAAAACAAATTATTCAGATACATAAATACTTAATTTGAAACGTATTTTAAATAAGTACCTATTTGACACTCAGTAAAAAAAAGATTATTTCAATAAAAATACAAATACTTCTAAAAGATAYTTGTAGAAACTTTCAATTATTTGAAACCAGCTGATCTCCGTGCACTTCGTTGCCTGTTAAAAATACTGACTTTATATGATTTAAAATTGTTGGTTAATTCGTCGTTTATAACTATCTTAATTTCCAAAAAAAGTTTTTAACACAGAAATTCAAAATACAGGATTAATAGTATATTAAATCATAATATTTTATAGTATTTTTAGCTTTKCAAAGGTAAAACAATTTTTAAAATTGGTACTTAATAACAAATTGCTAATTTTTTATTTATTATTCATTCATACTAAATTGTATAACCAATCGCAACCATATAGGTAATACACAAAGATATATTTAATATTATTATTATTTCTATAAAAAATCTCAAATTAGCAATAAAAAAAGGAAGGGCAACTTATAAAAATAAAATGTTTTCATAAAATCATGGGATTGTGTATACCTTTCTGATGGTAAAAAAATTAAAAATCAGTTAAATAGTTCCAGAGATTAAATCGATCAAATGAAAAAATTTTCTTCTATATATTATATAACTCTTTTAATCCCGGTAGGGGTAGAATTTTGAAAAATCTTTTCATAGTGCGCTTCTACTTATACATTGTTTAAGGAAATTCTGTACAAAATTTCAAGTTTCTAGACCCAGTGGTTTTGGTCTAGGCGTTGATGAGTGAATAGGGATGGTATCCTATATGCATATAGATTTGTTAATAAAATATATTTTTTAACTTATAAATAAACCCAACCAGTTTTTCATGTTTTAAATTAATTTAATTTTAATAGAAAACTTAACATAGCAGTATAATTCGGTGGAACATTAAAATAAAATTGTATTTGTAAATGATTATTTGTTATTTCAATTTGATAATTGTGGCTAGAGAATAAATTGTTATGAAATGAACTTATGACACTATGTTATCTTATAATTGATAAAGATTGAAATACTATGTAAATTTAAAGTGTAACAGGACTATTTGACAGATTTTCATTATAAATATTGTTATATCTGTCAAATATTGCTGTTACACTCTGTATATATATATATATGTTCGGTCTAGGACGTTTTGGCGCCGCTGTTTGTGCGCTTACTCGGTTTGGCGCTATGCATTTTGGCTCTAGCCGTTTTGACGCTAACCTAATAGATATAGTCAAAGTATAAATATATAGTAAAAATAAATAGTTTTAAAACATTTTTACAAGGTAATATAGTCAAAATATAAATATATATTAAAATTTAAATAGTTATTAAAATAAATAATTAATTAAAAAATTATTACATTAAAAATAGGAACTCTAATGAAACAATGTTTGCAACGACTCTAAAAATAATAAAATTCTATTTTCATAATAATTAGACACTAATTTTAAAATTCCTTTATCACTATCAATGTACCTACTTCTTTATTGCTTTTTATCGTTATGCTTTATTACAGTCACAATAGATAACGTGCGATCTTTATTGTCGATTGAAATTTTTTCGTCTTGGATTATATGCCAATCATTTATATTTATAAATTATTAAAATATATAMAAATTCATGTTTAGCTACAATAACTATTTTTAATGTTTTAACTATTTAATKTTTTACTATATTATATTTACCTATATTTATATTTTTACAATATCTTGTAGTCATTTTTAAAGTACATTTTTATAACTATCTATTTACTATATTTTCATTTAAAATTAATTGTAATATCTGACAAAATTATAATTTTAAATATTATATAGAAATATTAGTCGGCGCCAAAACGGCAGCGCCCAAACGTCCGTGTCTGATATATGTTATATTATATACCGTATAAAAGTATATAATAGGCTATAAATATAGGTAAGTAGGTGTAACATTCTTTTTTTAAATATTATTTGTACCTACTCGTATTTGTAATTACCCGTTTAYTTTTCAATTTACATTTAAACATTAAACGTGGAAATGACAATTTAAGAAATCAATTGATAAGTTTACTATCGTAATAACATTTTATTGTTTTCTAAATATATTTTTTTAAATATTTAAAATTTATTTTATTACTTTAAWATCTTCACCTCAAAATCCTTAGCATTCGATGCCCTGAAGCACTGTTCGATCCCACTTTGATCACACACATGAATACGGACATTAATGATGGCATTCACAACTTGGTACAAGCGTCGATCGGAGATTGCAACGTCAACGAGTGGAACGATTTGTACGATAACATCTTGTTGGCCGGCGGCAACACGCTGTTCTCGGGGTTTCCTGAACGATTGAAGATGATGATCGACGAGGTGTCGCCCGGCCCGGAGGCCAGGATCACCACACCACCTAATCGTGAGTATTCCACGTGGATAGGTGGCTCCGTGATGGCCTCGTCGTTATACTTTCATCGGATGTGCATCGAAAGCGCCGAATACGACGAGAAAGGCTCGAAGATAGTGCAATACAAGAACATACGAAACACACAAGAGTGACATACGGTTCGACGATTTCCATGTAAATTGTTATTATGATGGGTTAGTAAATATAATGGTTCTTCGTCGATATAATACATCACATAATACACCCATTTGTGTACCCGCGAATATCAACAACAGTCAACAGACCAGTCGTGATCAAGCATTAAGCAATATAATCATAGTCATAATTAGGGCTCGGAAGTTGTAGGAGTTGCATATTATTCGGTACACTCTCAATTTATAGCAGACCAAGCAAGAAATTCGTTCTAAACAATGATGAGTTTAAATACAAAAATTAAAAATGCATTTTTTTGCATATTTTGTCAATTTTAGAAAAAAAGTGTATATTTCTTAATTTTCATATGCTGATTATGCATATTTCTATGCTTATTTAATATTTTCTAAAAAACCTAATGTTTTCTTCTCATAATTATTGTTTTATTATTTTGCTTTTAATTATTTAGCGTGCCCTTATAGTCACCATAACGCCTAACACTATGTAAGTGTAATATTATATTTTGAATAAAATTCGTTTATGTTATTGATTTATGTAATGATGTGTGCAGTGTGCTAATATCCTTTTAATAAAATAATGAATACTGAATTTCGGTCATTCCTAGAAAAATATACCCTTAAAGATATTCCATGTGAATCTACCTTAAGAAACACCCATTTAAGTGAATGTTACGAAGAAACAATTGATAAAATTAGAAAAAATGTCTTTGGGAATAAAATTTGGGTATCTATCAATGAAAGTACAGAAATCGAAGATAGATTTATTGCGAACGTAATTGTTGTAACATTATTGGCTTATCAACCAGGGGATATATATTTATTGACGCCCGGGTTCTTGATAAGGTTAATTTTTCAACAATAGCCAAAATATTTGATGGATCAATGTTCCTTTTGTAGCTAGATGGAATCTGGCACGATGACAAACTTTTATTTAAAAGTGATGCTGCCCCGTATATGAAAAAAGCTGGTACGGCTATTAGGTAAAGCATTCTATTCAAAAATGATGCATGTCACATGTTTAACTTACGGACTGCATAGAATAGCAGAATAAATTGTGTGATAAATTAATATTGAGGGTAAAACAAGGATTTTTAAAAGAACCGTCTTGTACTACCTATATTTAAAACTGAAGCTCCTGGAAGTCCATTTCAACCGRAGTCCACACTAACACGTTGCGGGACATGGCTACAAGCAACTTCATACTACTGTAAATATTATAAAGAAATGTACAATGTTTTACAACATATAGATTCGAGCGATGTGGTTTCTATTAGAGAAGCAAAAATCATTGTAAGTGACTGTTCTATGGAAATTAACTTAACTTTCATTCATGCAAATTATAATTTTTTACCGACAACAATAACGCAACTCGAAAAACAAAAACTCTCGTTACATGAATCAATAGTGACAGTGAAATTTGTTGAAAATAAAATAGAGCATATGATTGGCAATGCAGGTATTGCAACCATACAAAGATTACAACATATTTTGGAAAAAACGTGGTTTTGATGATTTAGAAAAAATATAAAAAAATTTAACTGGTGAAGCAACGCCAATTAACATTAAATGTGAATGACTTGGAGCACTTAAATATGCATCCATAACTTCATCGGATGTTGAAAGAAGTTTTACCCGCTACAAAAATATACTGCCAGACAACCACGTTCGTTTGATATAGAAAATATCAAGAAAGTTCTGGTTGTTCAATGCAATAAATTTACAGGTATGAAAGTTACAATGATCTATATTTTCACTAAACTAAAAATAAATAAATACAATTTTTCAAATAACATAATTCTATATTTTTATTTTTAGATTGAAAAAATTACAATCTTTCAAAATCAGCCAACTACACTACTACAACTCCTTATTATTTTGTTCGCATATTTAATACCTTTTTTTTCTTGCATATTTTGTAATTGTTTTGATACATATTAACCTTTTTTTAGCTCCTACAACTTCCGAGCCCTGGTCATAATGTATATAAAACAGGCGAATGTAAGTTCTCACACGTCTATTAGCAATAAGCAGGTAATAGGTAATCAACACCCCTGGGTAGGTATGCACTAAGCATACSAATGTTCCTTTAACTACCTATCTCCGTAAGTAAGTCCCCACACAAAAAATAATTATAACAATTAAAAATCTAGTATGCTATGTATATTTGTAACTTGCACAAAATGTATAACAATTTTACTTTTCAATACTGAAAATAAAAAAAATAAATTAAATCTGATATAATAAAAAAATTAAAAGTAGCCAATTTCTGAATCTGGTTTTGAGAAAAATGTTCATCATTATAAAATAATCAACTGAACTAGGGTAGTTTATTTAAAGTTGTTTGAAATTTCATAATTGTTATTATTATGATAAGTTGATAAAGTCGTAAAAACATTTTTAATTCAAATAGGCAATAGCATAGACTATTTTAAAATATTTTAAGAAAATTTTTTTAAACGTACTTGTTAAAACCTAAATATTTTTTTTAACAGTTATTACTACCTATATATTCTTCGAAAATCATAAAAATAAGCCACTTGACTTAGATAAATGTATTTACAATTAAAAATTTTCTAAAAACCAAATTTTCAAATTAGTTGTTATGAATATTAATTTTAATACATGATACATTGTAAAATGTTGTACCTTTTTATTGTTGTCGATAAAAAATTATAAACTATATTATATATAGTACCTATATATTATTATATATATTACAAAGTTTAACAGGTTATAAGATAGTTCCAGACGATCAAGAAAAAAATCGTCTTTAGAAGTTCCGCTAGGTACCTTTTTTTGTTTTATTAGATAAAAGTAGAATATTTACAATCTGTAATTTATATACATACAATAAGTAAATTTGATAATATAAATAAACAATAACATGAATGGCGTGAGGAGAGAGGCCCACCAGTGTGGATACCCTCTAGCTTGGGGGAGATGTTTTATTTATTTTTTTAATTAGGGTCGGTATTCAGGGGATCGCGATACCAGTGTCTTTTTAATCGACGTGGGGGTTATTAGGCATGAATTCACTGGCCAAGTTGGAAATCAATGGACTTGTGTGGTTAGCTGTTTTGGTGTGCTTATTTTTGTAGTATTTTTTGGCTGTTTTAGAGACTGTTTCAATTTTAAGATCCTTATGTAGTGAGAGGTTTGAGACGTACCATTACCATGGCGCAGATTAGGCGAAGGAAAATAGATTGGAAGGCTTGTATAGTCCGTATTTGGGAAGGCTTGGCACATCCCCATATCGCTAGGTACTTATAACAAAATTGTGAGATTTAGGTTGGTGTGATTTTAATTCTGTAAAAATTATAACATTTCGTAATATCTCCTCTGTAGAACCATCGGAGTATTTTTTTTAAGTTTGAACTTCTGACAGTACCTACCTATTATAATATTATACAAATTTCATTTTTTTTACAACATTTTCGTTCAATCATATGTATTTTCGTATTGAAGAAAATAATATTTAAACAAATCCTCTTTAGAGGAAGTGTTAATAAATATTAGGATTTTTACAGAATTAAAATCAGTAAAATCACATCAACCTAAATCTCACAATTTTATTGTAACAGCCGAGGTATGTTGTTATACGAAATGTACCTTACTGATATTTTTTCGTACCTTATATAATTTAACGTAACATATGCCTGCAAGTGCGAGAACGCCAAATGCAGATAACAAAATAATTTCACGACGTTCACACGAATCGTCGCGAGTCGACCAGATGCCGACCGTTTACCTAGAAGCAATTTTCGATGATTGTCATACAATATTAATTTAAATAATTTTTTTTTTTATTAGTTCAAACAAAATCCGCAGCATCTATGGCCATTGGACAGTTCAAATAATTATTATGTTTTTCTATAATAGATGCGGCTATAAACTGCAAATTCACGTTTAATAGGTTAGGTCCTTAGACCATAATTATTATTTTTTGACTGTAATTTGGATATATTGTGATATTTTTTATCTATTTCCAAATATTTTGAACAATGGATAATACGATAAATTTGTGTATGGATAAAAAATCAAAACGTTTTCCGAGTTAAAGCACGAAAAATAAATGAAATATTGCTGCACTTGGACAAAAAACTTCACTTACAAGTTATTGTTTGTACGATCAAATTTAAAAGCCTGAAATGATCGCTTTTGGTTATATTAAGTTTTAATTTCACAAAATATTATATATTTATTAATTAAAATTATATTTAATACTAAACATGTCAGAATATAAAATTCAATTTTTGACAATTAGTTTCAATTGGTGATATTATAGCGTAATGTCCAGATGTAAGTAAAAAACATAAAATAAAACTTGTATTAACTGAAAACMGATTACTGATCTCGATTGTGCGTTCCATTACCAAAATAATAGATATATTATAGTAATAGTAGATTAGGTAGTGTAGGTACGATGCGTGTGGAAACACGGTAGACTATATTATAGTAATGTAATCTATTGCTTGATTCTTAAAATGCGGATACTGGTCGTAATGCCCTGAGATACAATATGTAGGACKTAGGTACACCACGGAACACACACACACTAATAATCATTTACACTTGCACACATTGAATTGTCATTGATATGACCAGGTTATACGTAATACATAATTTACAAAGACAAGTGTCGGCCATAGTGATTTTTTATAAAATAGTCAAAGTTACTTTGGAAGTCTTTGTGATTTTATTATTCTTGTTTCAGATAAAAAGGAGGAAAACTACAATATTGGTAGATTTATTGATACTTATTTTTAAAATAAATTCAAAACTTGAATTATGAATAATGTTTTTGATTACTTTTATTATTATTTATTGTCAATATATTTAAACCATTTTAAAAATCATATTGAAATACCGAATAAGGTAGATACAATATAATATACAATTTAAAATACGACTGTTATTAATTTAGTCTTAAATTTAAAAATTAAATTTTCTTGCTTTTAAAGATTCAAAATATTTTATCRATGTTTAGGTCGTTTGCGATTTCATATTTAATTGAAATTTTTGATAATCCTTAACAAACAGTTTTGAGAAATTTTTGAACGTAAAAATAATTCTAGAAAAATTAACATCTTTAATTTAGAAAAGCTTCTGTTAACTATTTCTAGTTAATATGGATTTATCCAATCTTATACAGTTAAATATATAACCCTCTTCTTTTCAGTAATAACTTATAGAGAAAAATACAATACACAACACTTAAAAATAAATAAAATATACAAATCATTTAGGACTGATCTTAATTTAACAACAACCCCCAAGCATTGCTGTTAATATGAAAAAAAAAAATAATAAATATAACAACATAATACAACATTTTTTTTACTCGGTCTCATCGTTGGTCTCATAGTCTTGGAGTCTTATAGGCTTTTTCTTGACTCGTTCGGATCACCTCACATCTGTTGGTACCTCCTYGCTTTCTTCGATCACTGGTACAGCTTCGCCTGAGATATATTCTTTTTCCATGTAGATTACTTTACTCGTTAACTCTTATTCATTTATATCTAGTTCCTCTTTCCCAATCCTCCATGACTTTAACTGTACGACGTGCGCTGTAGTTACAAAGTGACGTCTGCTATCCTCTGGCAAYTGGGCTATTCGATAAACGTCATTAGGTAAAACTTCTGTTACCACCAAAGGTCCACGATACCACTCTTGGAGCTTGGCTGATTCACCTGTTGACACTGGCACCCTGGCCATGACCACCACCTCAACCACAGTGTACTTGGTTTGGTTGTGTCTATGATTGTCAYATGCAGACTTCACACGCTCTTTAGATTTTATTATCTCTCTTCTCGCTTCTTCCCAGAGTTCAGCAGGACAGACCCACTCTTCTGCAGTAGTCGAAAGGTCTCTTAGTCGAYCTAGCTTTGTCACCTTGGACTCACGGTTATTTATTTGTTTTTTTAAATCTGCCAGTAATTTGTCCCACTGTTCTTCCTCTGTTTGGGAAAGTAGCATGGCTAGTAAGGTACTGTTGATGCGCTCCACTTGCCCATTGGCTTGTGGCCTACGCGTCGAGGTTAGGTTAGGTWCTCTATCTATACTGGTATCCGTGACTGGAAACAAACAGACATATTTAGTGAGATTRTCCACTAACACCAAAATATAACTGTTCCCCTCGGCCCTCGTGACAAACGGCCCTACATGGTCAGCATGAAACACTTTGAACGGCCTCCGACCTGGGGGTATGGGATGCAGCAGGCTAGGTTGTCGTCCTCTTGGTTTCTTTGTCATTAAGCACTCCATGCACATCCGTATTTGAAGTTTCATATAGCAACGAAGCCCTACAAACCAGAAGTCCTGAGTTATCTTACTGACAGTTTTATCAACCGACAGATGACCTCCCAGGTCGCGTGCTGCCACCACAATGCTCTTGCGCATGCGCCTGGGCATTACATACAGTAGTCGGCCTTGGTACCACCTATACAGTAACTTTCCTTCTAGGCTGTATTCTCGCACAAGACTCCTTTCTGCCTTTGTTCTCTGCTCCTCAGGTTTTTGTAATATGTCATAAATCTGACGCAACTCTTCATACACATGCTGAACCATCCGTACCTTGTCTTCAGTTTTCAATGAAATGCATACATCCAATCGACCAGCCAACACTTCATCTAGTGTTTCACCCTCCTGGTCTGATACTGGATCCCRTGACAGAGCATCHAVATGTAGCATTTTCGATCCYGGACGATGGTGTATATCAAAATCATACTCTTATAGTATGTCATACCATCGCATGACTTGTGGTTTGGTAGCCCTATGTTCTCTCAGATAAACCAACGCTTTTCAATCAGTCACAACGGAGAATCTTACACCCAACAAGAAATGACGCCATCTGTCCACTGCCCACACTATACTCATTAGTTCTAATTTGCTCAAATGATAATGCGACTCTGCAACGCAAAACTTCTTGCTAATGTAATATACTAACTGTAGCTGTGTTCCTTCTTCCTTGCTCTGCAGCAACATTGCTCCTAGCCCAACGGAACTTGCGTCCGTATGGACTTCAGTGACAGCCACCTTTGGATCAAACATACAAAATATAGGATTATCAGCAAATATACCTTTCAATTCCATAAATGCAGTTTCTTGGGGAGACGACCATTCGAACGCCACGACTTTTTAGTCAGTCTTGATAGAAGTTCCGCCAAGGTAGCATAGTTCCGAACAAATCGCCTAAAGAACCCGGTGAGGCCAAGAAATCTGCGCACACCATGGACATCTTTTGGGGTTGGGAATTTTTCGATGGCTTGACTCTTCATCGTTGCTGGACTGATCTGTCCTCCACCTATAACAAATCCCAAAAACTCAATACTCCTTGCCCCAAAGGAACACTTCGATGGCTTTTACGTGAGGTTTGCAGTCCTCAATTTCTCCAGCACCATTCTGAGTTTTGTTAGCATATCTGGTCAGTCTTCAGCGTCTACCACCCAGTAGTCCAGATAGTTTTTGACCACTCTGTCTTTCAGGTCGCCTAGCATTTTCCGCATCAGCCTCGTAAATTCACCAGGGGCTCCCACCAAGCCGAAAGGCATCCTGGTGAATTGACCCGTATCATCAGGCGTGATGAAGGCCGTTTTTTCCTGAGCCGCTTTAGACAGAGGCACTTGTAGATAACCGATTGCCAGACCCAACTGGGAGAAGTAACGTCCCGCGTTTAGTGACTCAACTTGCTCCTGTAAGTCTGGTATACAGTGTAAGTNTTGTAGATAACCGATTGCCAGACCCAACTGGGAGAAGTAACGTCCCGCGTTTAGTGACTCAACTTGCTCCTGTAAGTCTGGTATACAGTGTAAGTCTTATAAGCAACTGAATCTAGGTCCAACCAGTTCCGACCAATGATCATATTATCGTACCGTTGTACACCATCAGGTACAATCAACACTTTAACTGGACCAGCCTCGACGTTATAGACCGTTATTATGGCATCTGACTTCCCTACAGCACTCACTGACGGTACTGAGACACTACCTAGCCCATACAACGATTTTTTCGTAGTTCTCAGTTCTAGCTTACAAGGTGATGCTATACTAAATATCAGCAAAGGGTAGTAGCTTCCAGTGTCCAGTAGCACTGTCATTTCAACATCATTAATTTTTCCACGCTTTAGATAGGAGTTTGTTACTTCTTTAACCATCATCAGATTATTGACAGTTGGTTGTGCCATGCAGTCACGTGCAAAATGCCCCTCAGCACCACAAGCAAATCATTTGCACTTTTTTTCATTGTACAGTCTCTTGACCAATTACCAACTTTCCGAAAGATTTCTGATGATCCATCTGAGTCAGCACTATATTTGTTTAATATGATACTTATGATTATTGTTAGTATAAACAGTATAGGTGTAATATCATATAATATAAATGCTGAATATGCAACATCTTTTTCCTTAAAAAAAA